GCACCGCGCTCGCCTCGCCTCGGCCGGCCGAGCCCCTCCCCGCGGAGGGAACATGTCCAAGATGCCGGCCAAGAAGAAGAGCTGCTTCCAGATCACCAGCGTGACCACGGCTCAGGTGGCCAGCAGCATCACCGAGGACACTGAGAGCCTGGACGACCCAGATGAGTCCCGTACCGAGGACGTGTCTTCTGAAATCTTTGATGTTTCCCGAGCCACCGACTACGGCCCCGAGGATGTCTGCGAGCGGAGCTCCTCCGAAGAGACTCTCAACAACGTGGGCGAGGCCGAAACTCCCGGCAGCGTCTCTCCCAACCTCCTCCTGGATGGGCAGCTGGCTGTGGCCACTGGTGGGGCAGCTGGACTGCAGCTCTGCCAGCTGTGGCCCCCAGTGGAGGGGCTGTGCCCAAGAGCTCCGCTGTGCCCCTGCCAACTGCTGCCCCTGGCGCTGCCGTGGGAGGAGGCAGCAGCGCTCAAACCGCCTTGCCCTCCACAGGGCCTTCTGCATCTGCCGCTCCTGGGACCATGTCTCAGATGGTGGCCGCCGCGTGCAGCTCGCGCTTCAGGGTGATCAAGCTGGACCATGGTACAGGGGAGCCCTACAAGCGAGGCCGATGGACGTGTATGGAGTATTATGACCGGGACTCAGATGGTGGTGGTGTCCTGGGCAGGACTGGAGATTGCATTAGGCACAGCAGCACCTTCGAGCAGGCAGCTCAAGAGAGGGACAGCGGCCTCGGTGCCACAGGAGGTTCTGTCATCGTCTCGGCCGTGCCAGCGTCGGCCCATGGCCCCGATTCTATAGCTGACAGTTCCCTGACTGCTGTGTCACAGCTGCTTCAGACAGAGAAAATGAACCAGTCCTCTCTACAGCAACCTAATTTTGTCATTGGGCAACAACAGCAGCCGCAACAACCCATAGGTGGGGCCGTGCCTCAAAGTACTGCTCAGCCTATGTTTTCTGGGGCTTTGGTAGCAAATCAGCAAATGATGGTGCCACAACAATCGCAGCCACAGGTAAACGCACAGGGTGTTGCACAGGCTGGACCCAACGGGAAAAGCATGGCGCCTCCAAATGTGACAGCAGGGCAGCCGAGCATTCCTGTGGCACAGCAGCAGGTGCAGCAGGCAAACATACCAGTGACTCAGCCTCAACAATTTGCTTATTCCCAGTCTCAGATTCCACCAGTGCATCTACTGCCGGCGCAGCCTTCTGGCCAGACCGACTACATGCAGCACATGACAATTATGCAGTCTCAAGGAGCTATTCAGCAAGCTACTACGGGCTCTGTTCCAAGTACTGTGGCTTCCAGCCTTCCCATGGGGCAGGTCACCGGCCAAAATCCCTCACCTGTGGGAGCGCCAGTGCTGGGGGTGTCGGCACAGCCTGGCGAAGCAGTCGGACAGGGGTCGGGGTTAATGCAGAGTGGCCAGACGCAAGCTGGTCAGGCTGCTGTTCCGCAACCGGGAGGTGTGGTGCAGCAAGGCATTGGACATACTGGGGTTGTGCAACAGAAATCTGTGACTCAGCATCCAATGGGTGGAAGCGGCCAAGTGTCCGGAATGCCTGGTGCTCCCCACGCTGTGGTCTCTGGAGTTCAGAACGTGCCTGCGGTTGTGCCCGGTACTGGTGTGCCTAGCGTGTCTACCACCGCTTCTGTTACTATGCCAAACGTCCCTGTTACACTGGTCCAGTCCCAGCTGACCAGCCACACTTCGGCCAGCAGAAGCGCCAGCGTTGGCACGCCGCAGCACGTCGGGCACTCCGTGATGCAAGGCACGCCTAATGTACCTGCCAACCTGCCGCAGGCAAACCTCGGACAGTTTCAGAGTCAAGCTCAGTCCTTGGGCCAAGTTGACGATACTAGAAGAAAATCAGAACCCCTACCTCAGCCACCGCTTTCTGTTATAGCCGAAAATAAACCTCTTGTGAAGCCTCCCATTCCAGACACTCTAGCAAATCCTCTTCAGTTACCTGCAAGTACTCCTATGAACAGTCTTGCCAGCTCTGTCTTTGGCATATCGATTCCTGTTGATGGTGATGAAGACAGGTATGAATTGTTTTATAATGCCATAACGATACTTCTTTTTGGGGGGGGGAAGCAACTGTCAAGTTGTTGTCGGGTGGTTTTTGTAGGTTCATATTTTCAGAGTCATACTGGAATTTACCTGGGCTGCTTTGTTTTTTAAGTGTACAGACAGCAAAGTGTTCAGACAGGCACTGAACTGTACTTGTTCTCGGGCTGTGAGCGTGGTTCCCTTTCTCACTGACAGGGCCGAAGTAGCCCGGAAGCTGCTTAATGCACAGATAATAAGACCTCTTCCAAATCAAAGACTGGAAGCTCTCCTTCTGCACCTGATTGCAGAGTGTGTGAGGGCTTCTGCTCTCTGCTTTCCCCTGAACGTGCAAGACACTCGGGTGACAGGCTAACGTGGGTTTATCCGCACCAGGCTGCTGAGTTAGGGTGTAGTGCTGCCCCGGGGCCCTCAGGTGAGGGGTCTTGGAAAACTTCAAGGCGTGTAAGACCAGATTCTTGCTTTTTATCCTGCTGTTGAATTTGTGCTTTACAGTAGCAGTCAGAAAGGTACTTGCATCGGGATATGAACTTGTTCGCCCTTACAGAGTGAACGCTCTACAGATTACGGCCCTTTGGGTTGACTAAAAAGGACGCCGCTTACTTGGGTGAAGACATAGACGCAGTGTAAAGTACAGCCTTACAAGGAGTTGGCTTTGTAGGAAAGCAGTTTGGAAGTGCTGGTTGTAACAAAGGAGTGTGGTGTGGGCAGGGTCGTCAGAGGGCCCGGGAGAGGGAGCGTGCGTGTGCCTGACCCCGCAGCCTGCTCAGGCTGCTCTGAAGGTGGGTGGGGGCTCAGACTGTGCTTAAGGGGGAGAGGACTGTCAGGGAGAGCAAAGTTTGAGCACCGAATTAATGTCAATCGTGTTTACTGTTGGGATTACTGGAGTTGGAGTGAAATAACGAGTGGGTTGTGTGTAGCCCTGTTTTTCAAGACGGGAGTAAGGCCAGTGGGAGAAGGTGTGATGTGTCCGCCTTCCCTCGCCTTGGGAGAGTACAGACTTCAGTACAACAGCCAGTGCTGCTTGGAGCGCCTTCTGCTAGGGCGGCTGGGCTGTAGGGGCTGGGGGAGGTACCTCAGGGACAGGGTCCTGGCGGGGGGGGAGTTGCATGTGCAGCGATGAGGGCCTTGTGCTCGCCGGAGCTTTGACCAGCGCCGTGTTTGGGCCAGTGGCTGCTGACAGCCTCCCGCAAGCAGAGCGGGGTTGTGGGGCTGGGCTGGGCCTGATTACAGCGGGAAAGGCCTTGGTTTTAACCGAGTGAAACGGTTAATTTCTCCAGCCCTTGTGCCTGCCTTAAGAGGATGGCGGACCCAGCTGGCAAACTCCCCTTTGTGCAAATAAGGCTAGGTTTCGAGCTGGTCGCTTTGCCGGCAGCTCACTGTATTCTCAGAAGATGATTTGTCTTGTGTCTAACCATTCCGCTGGTTAAGGAGGCAGAAAGGAAGGAATGTATCTCGCATAGCTTCTGATACTCAGTGCGTATGTAAATGGTGGTAGCGGACACGGTTATCTGTGACAAACGAACCGCTTTATGTAACAGCGAGGAAGAACTTGGCCCGCTTGTCCAAGCTAAGGCTGCAGGCCGTGCTGCGCGCCAGCGAGACAGGCCTCGGTACGCGTACCCCGGCCCGGGCCTTTGAAATCTGTCTTTGCGCGTGAGCCACCTTGCAGCGTTGTGCAGAGGAGCTGCTCGGAGGCTTGGCTGCGAGAGCCGGGGTGCGAGGTAGGAGCAGGCTCTCGCTGCTCTTGACGGGCCACGTTACGTTGACGTTCAGAGGCGGTGGCTTGTGGTTATCTGAGGAGAGACACCACGTGCTTCTGGGCTGTCGGCTCCTGCGCTGGCTGATAAACCCCTGTCCTTCGCCGAGGCGGAGTGCGCAGCAGGGAGCCGTGTGGTGCGAGAGTCTCCGGTGCGGGATAGCTTCCCGCAGTGGTGATCCGGATAAGCGATAGGAGCTCATTTTGACCAGGCCTAGAGCTCGTACGGAGTAGGAGATGCGGAGCTAGCAGGTCTAAATGCATTCTTTACTCCCCTCGGACAGTATGCTGAGTGCCACCGCTGTCGGACAGACAAAGAAAAGATCCGCAGCAGCTTGTTAAGGGTGTTTTGCCACTTTGGCTTCGCTTGGTTTCCTGTAAAGCTGTCTGCTCCCTCGCTCCTGCTTTTCTCCTCTTTCCAGCCGTTCAGTGACACCTCTGCTCCCATGGGCCTGTGCCCAGCTGCTTTACCTGCCCGAATCAGCAGGGAAATAGTTACTGGAGACCTTCAGTGTCATTAATAGGCTGAGGGTTGACACTGATAAAGCCAGTGGAGCGCAAAGGGAGTTCACGTGTCGTGAGTCACCGTTCCGGGGTCAGGAAGTTACTGCTGGGGTTTGTCCAGAGGTTACTTTGTGAGCGCAGGAGGCAGGAGTAAGTGGAAAGCTTTTGTCTCTTGTGTTGATGTGTAACATACCCAGCTGGGGGGAGTCAGTGTGTGGCAGGCAGCTACACTTCTTCTGACACCGGTTATATTTGGGTGTTTGTACGTACTCGAAGCTGGAGAAGCCTGTGTAGCTCATTCTCCTACAGTCACCTCCCGAAAGAGCAGCTCGTCAATGCTGCGTAGCTCTCCTCTAGCAAGTCATTCACCACTCTGGGTATGGAGAAGGACTGGTTTAAAGGTAAAATAATTCGTGTTGGGAAGTCACTGAAAGCAAGCTTAGAGGAGCACAGCAGGTACGAGACCGGTGGGTTCCATTCTTTGTTATTCCTGCCTTACGGCCTGCCAGCTTACGTCGTGTCTGAGACAGCGGTGGAGGCGTAAGGTTACAGACCTGAGGGATAGATAACAGAATGTTACCTGTAGCTGTAGACCTGGCTTTTTTGGGAAGCCATTCCCTGAAACCCTTTGATTTTCTGTTCTGATAGCCCAGCACACTTTTACAGTGTTCTAGGCAAAACTGTGGTTTCTGGCATTGTTCTGGTGAATAACGAAGGATCAATTAATCTTGCTGGGGGGAAGAGCAGGCAGGTAGGTAGGCCAGAGGAATTAAAAAAAAAAAAAAAAAAAGCCTTTGGCATGTCACAACCTTCCTTTAAAAAGCAAAGCTGGTGTTGTCAGTCGATGTGTACATTGCAAAGCTCTTTGAGGGGAATGTGTTCCATGGCAGCTGTGAAAGCTCTGCAGCATCATGTCTGCTGTCCTCTCCTCTGAACCTGGCTACACGTCGGGTGGGCTGCAGCCGCGTTGGAGGCTGGGGGAAACGGTACTCTTACTGCGGCAGATGGGTATTGCCATCCGCTCCGCACTCGGAGAGCGTCAGATCCTGTGAGAGCACGTGCGGGGCTGGAGCTCGCAGTTGCCCTGGCTCTTGGTTTGCTGCACTAGTTACTGGGGG